ATATGTACACTAAAACAGCGTCTCTGCTTTCTTTCCTTCCTTCAAAAGGCTTGGGGTGCTAACTTAGTTGGGGGGGAACGCTGCTCGCCTGGCGCTCTCTCGAGCGAGACAGTGTAAACTCGAACATTCCAGCTTTTCACGCATGTCAAGTGACTGCCCCCACCCCCCTAGACTGCCTACACTCCCCCTGGCCCACGGATTTCCGAACATGCCAGGCGAGCAGACTGCCGCGCCGCCGCGTGCCCCCCCCCAACTAAAAAGATAGCACCGCAGAATAGTATGGTTTTCTTCTGGACGTACGAGTCTGTGTTGACCAATGCCCCCGTACCGGCACATAATGCACGAGGTCAATTTTGTGCAATTGCACAATTGCTTGGTTTGATTTTAGAATTTGCGTTTTTGATTTGAATTTGAAGGCGAGGGTAAGTGACTCACTCACTTGAATGTGCCCTCCCCCTAACGACGTGAGCGCCATCATTTCCTTGTGGCCTATTTACGGTTTTTTTTTGACTAGAGACCAGGAGCCAAAAGCAGCAATACCCGGCCGAGGATGGGTTCCCAAACCTTCTTATCTCTAATTGCATCCCGCTGTTTGTGACCATGATAAATGCGTGAAAAGCCGGCGTAGAGATGTAGTTTTGCGAACCCATCTCCAGCCGGGTACTGCTGCACACGACCACAGAAAAGAGACTCTTCCCTCCACATTGATGACAGCGCGCGTTTTGACTTTTTTGGCACGTGGGACAGGGACGATTTTGCGAGCGCGGCCGCCGCACCTAGCAATCGTAAATTTGAATGATAACTTTGGAAAGCATCACTGGTACAAAACCATTTCAGCAATATTCAATGCGTAGAAGGTAATCGAGGATATAGTGGCGAAATTCCGATCAAAAGAACGTGTAATGGTAATGAAAAAGGAACCTTCAGTCCTTTTCTCTGTAGTGGATGCCAAAACTATTTTCGATGTGGATGTGTCAAGTGAAACATATATTTTTCTATCCCTTTAATTTGTATTTACTTTCACTACCCTTTCTCACTGACATGTTCATCAGAATAGGAAGAAAACGAGGAATGAACCGAGCTGCCAATTCCGCTGTGCTTAAAAACTTCTGCTAAACTGGAGCATATTTGATCATACCGTGACCCATGTCGTTTACAGTTATGTTATGTTGTAATCCATAGAATAGAGGCAAGCAAATTGGGAAGAATCCCCGCATACGCTAGAAAAAGGGATGACAAGGGTGAGACGCGTTACCGCGTCTCAATGTCGTCAATGTGTTAACAGAAGCAACACCGCACCCTCAATGAAATACGGACCTTGGAGTCACTCAATCGATGCGCACCCAATCTCTTTCGCGGATTCTCTGATTCTCCCAAGCTGTTAACAAAGATTCTAAGACATATTTTGGGTCTCCTCTGAAGGGGTGCACGTTCATATCGCCTAAAGAAGTCTTTAATTTTTCCCACAGGGTTAGAATTTCCGCGGATGGTTTTTGAGACGCATTGTCGCTTGTCACTTCAGCCACTAGGACACCTCTTTTTTTCTTCTGGTGTGCGTAAGATTTAGATCATCCTTCAAAGTTTATGATAATCTGTTTGGCAGCAGCATCCCCTGTAGCAGGTCTGAAGTGGACTCCACGATCCGCAAACACGTGAGGGTTAGGCTGATGTCGGAGTCCGCGATCCGTCGCAGGTTTCGCTGATTTTCGCGTTTGCGCGAAACCTGTGATGGATCGTAAAAATCGCAAATGCCCCACTTGATTTTTTGGAACACTGAGAACCGAGACGTCATAGTCGGCGACGGACCAAGCGATGGAGCGATCGCGATCGCTCCATCGCTTGTCCGTCGCTTGCCAATCGCGTGGTGACGAAAGCACATACGTGTATGTATTTTGATCGGTGCATTTTGAAGTATCCGTTGCAACCGTCGCGTGAATTCGCGTGAATCGCGTGAATCGCGCAAATCGCGAAAATCGCGTGAATCGCGCAAATCGCGAAAATCAGCGAAACCTGCGACGGATCGCGGACTCTGACACCAGCCTTACGTGCACCACTAGCTTAATCCACATTTGCTCGGGATTAATTCCTCAACAGTCGTTGCTGCAATCATTTTCATCCGTCTGTTGTTGTGAAACAGTTTCCGGGAACTTTGTGTGGGACATGTGCTCACTTGTCATCGCCAGTTCTACCACTTACCTCGACTTTCTGCTGCTGGCTCTCCGGCTCCGTCTGTGTAGCAGTTTTCGTGTTCGCCGACGTCGACCGGGTCTGCATCTTTCGTCCTGGCGCCACGTGATGAGCTACTGCTACTGATGGTGCTCAGCATGGACGTTGACGTGAACGGCAACGTGTAAGGTTCAACTGGTTTCAACAGGTTCTGGATAACTTTTACTTGTGAATTGCGAAATAAATGTTACATATTGAATTAAAAAGATACCTTCGTAACATGTTCGACAGGACGAAACACCAAACACGTTGATATCTGTCTTAACATGTCATTGTCCTCGTCCTTGTTCAGCAAAGCCCGGAACGCTAAAATGACATCGGCTTTTCCGTACCTGGGCGGCACATACGCTTTTTATCCGATGGCCAAGAGCATGGGCGCTACAAGCTTCACTGCACTAGTGACCACGGGGTGTGGTTCACTAGGACAGAAAGCGACTTTTTCGCGTTTCGCAGCGCGAAACATTTTTCGCTGCGGGAACCTCAGGTCCACCGCTGATCATCAGTGGACCTGAGGTTCCCGCAGCGAAAAATGTTTCGCGCTGCGAAACGCGAAAAAGTCGCTTTCTGTCCTAGTGAACCACACCCGTGACCGCAGCTTTCACAAAATTATTAGTTTCAACAAAATGATTAGTCGCTTGTATTCTGGCAGTCATCACTATTTACTATTATCGTTTATCAACTACCACGTGTCACTGCAAACTAACAGTTATCAGACTCACAGTGATCCGTGGCCACTGGATACAAAGTGTAGGTTGAATGGAGTGCGCGTTCAGAGTGTGTGAACCCTGGAATTACCACAATTCTGGGCTGGAGAAAACCCTAAATTCACGGAACAATGTAAATATATAAATATGCGTTCCTGGGTGGAAGAGGTGAGAACACGCACATTCCAGCCTTTCACGCATGCCGAGTGCCTAACCTTGCCCTCCATCCCTGAGGCTGGTACCAGGGGTACCCCCCAGGAGGCCCGTCGCGCGGCAAGAAGGCAAAGTCAGCGGACGAGTCGCGCGCGTACTATAGGGATTTCGCGTCAAGTTAAATAGAATGTCCCATTGCACGTCCTACATCGCACATCACGCGCTGCAACTCGTCCGCCGACTCTGCCTTCTTGCCGCGCGACGGGCCTCCTGGGGGTACCCGACATTGGGATGTGGTTCACGTGGACAGAAAGCGACTTTTCGCGGCGCGAAACATTTTTCACTGCAGTAACCTCAGGTCCACTGCTGATCACGGATGGACCTGGTGGGGCGTGGTTCACTAGGACAGAAAGCGACTTTTTCGCGTTTCGCAGCGCGAAACATTGTTCGTTGCGGGAATCTCGGGTCCACTGATGATTCGCTGCGGGAACCTCGGGTCCACTGATGATCAGCGGTGGACCTGAGGTTCCCGCAGCGGAAATGTTTCGCGCTGCGAAACGCGAAAAAGTCGCTTTCTGTCCTAGTGAA